GAACTTTTTCCACCTTTAATTTACCCTTTACACTGTACAACTCAGTTGAACAACAAGCTGAAATCTTTTAGGTGAAGGGAAGTAAAAATAAAACAACTAAAATAATATGGTTGCATAAGTGTGCACACCCTTAAACTAATATTTTGTTGAACCTTTTGATTTTATTACAGCACTCGGTATTTTTGGGTATGAGTCTATCAGCATAGCACATCTTGACCTGGCAATATTTTCCCACTATTCCTTGCAAAAACACTGTCAGATTGCGAGGGCATCTCCTGTGCACAGCCCCCTTCAGATCACCTCACAGATTTTCAGGTCTGGGCTCTGGCTGGGCTATTCCAGAACTTTAATCTTCTTCTGGTGAAGCCATTCCCTTGTTGATTTGGATATATGTTTTGGATCATTGTCATGCTGAAAGATGAAGGTCCTCTTCATGTTCAGCTTTCTAGCAAAAGCCTGAAGGTTTTGTGCCAATATTGACTGGTATTTTGAACTGTTCATAGTTCCCTCTACCTTGACTAAGGCCCAAGTTCCAGCTGAAGAAAAACAAAAGCATGATGCTGCCACCAACATGCTTCACTGAGGGTATGGTGTTCTTTTGGTGATGTGCAGTGTTGTTTTTGCACTAAAAGGTATCTTTTGGTGATTATGGCCAAAAAGTTCAAGCTTGGTTTCATCAGACCATAAGACATTTTCCTACATGTTTTTGGGAGACTTCAGATGCGTTTTTGCAAAATTTAATCTATCCCATAGCCCAGACATATGAAGAATACAGGAGATTGTTGTCACATGTACCACACAGCCAGTACTTGCCAAATATTCCTGCATCTCCTTTAATGTTGCTGTAGGCCTCTTGGCAGCCTCCCAGACCAGTTTTCTTCTCGTCTTTTCATCAATTTTGGAGGGATGACCAGTTCTTGGTAATGTCATTGTTGCACCATATTTTTTCCACTTGATGAAGACTGTCTTCACTGTGTTCCATGGTTAATCTAATGCCTTGGAAATTCTTTTGTACCCTTCTGACTGATACATTTTAACAATGAGATCTCTCTGATTCTTTGGAAGCTCTTTGTGGACCATGGCTTTTGCTGTAGGAGTTGACAAAGAAAATGTCAGGAAAGACCTACTAGGACAGCTGAAATTTATTTGGGGTTAATCAGAGGCACTTTAAATGATGGCACGTGTGTACTGACTCCTATTTAACATGATTTTGAATGTGATGGCTTAATTCTGAACACAGCTACATCCCCAGTTATAAGAGGGTGCGCACACTTATGCAACCACATTAGTTTAGTTTTTTCTGTTTACTCCCCCCCCCCCTAAAAGATTTCAGTTTGTTTCTTGATTGAGTTGTAAAGTTTATAGGCCGCATGTTTTCCACCGGCCCGTTATAGGCCGGTGGAAAACATTCTGAAATTATTTATCTTTGTCTCATTTTTTTTACATCACAGAAACCTGACATTTTAACGGGTGTGTAGACTTTTTATATCCAGTGTACATTATACAATCGTGTCTCCTTCAAACTTGGGTTGAAGGAAAGAAAAAATGCTTGATTCCCCCATCAACACAGTCAGCGGGGCACCCCACTGGCAGAATACAATGATGGTGGCTATAGCCCGGCAGTGATCATGGAAAAAAAAAAAAAAACGACCAAGTGGTTGTACTGAAGTTGATTGATTTATTACAACCAGCCTGCCCTTCCAGAATAAAATTCATCTGGTTCCTGTTGAAATGGCTGATTTTAATCCATTTATGGCTGGCTTAAGGCTCCATGAACATGTAAAATGTGTAATGAACATTGTTTTAAAGTGAACACTGATGCAATTTTTCACATTTTAACAGTTAATGTGTGTATAGATGGATTTTTGGGTGTGTTTTAATACACATACATTTTAATGTAGATATGGAGGGCCTATGTTATGGCCCAAGTAAGCCCATGCCCAAATAAGTCAAGTAAAAAGGGCTAGTCAGCAGTATTGCTGATGCTAATATCTTCACCTGGACTTCCTTTTCATGCTTCATTACACACTGTGCCTCTATGTAAGGGGGGCCATCTTAATACAGACATTGTTTTTGCATCTGTATGTCAATTCTGTCCCTCTGATAACTGGTGGGAGAATGATCAATGTGTAGTAGGAGAGGTGGAGGAAGCACAGAGGAGATCCCTACAATACAGATATTTGAGTACGGCTACCTCTTCAGTACACCTGCAGAAGAACAATGGGCAGCACAAGAGTGACCTCACCAACTGTCATAACAGTGATCAGGAAAAAACTTTTGAGAATTGATTGGGATATGCTTAAGATGGTCTCACACTGCAGATATATAGGAATGACAGTGCCTAGATACAGCAACAAGGCATTGTACTTCCCACAGGAATTCAGAGCAATAGATTTTTTAAGGGCACTGCTAATTTACAATTAATCTTTCTACATAGGCCCTATAGATAGCAAATATATTTAAAAGTAGATGTTCAAAACACACAGAAATGCATAAAAATGTGCCTTGATGCAAACTGAAACACAGAAGCCCTTGTGTGCAACAGAAGAATTGTTGGCATGCATACTGCACTTCAGCAAACAGTGGTCTTGCTAATTTTCTTTACCAGTGGGAGGGCTTAAAGGGTCATGGGTAAATAAAACCTGACTCTCCTTGTATCCAATAAATATGCTTTAATTGCTTTGCCAACAGTCGTACAGATATGTATAAACCTCAGCACAACCATATTTAAAAATGGAATGCTTCCTTACATATCATTTTGTGTATACTGAAAAGAGGACTAAACTTTGTCTGAACCTACCTTAAAGAAGAGTGAGGAAAGTGCAACATTCCCCCTGAAAACAAAACTCTCCCACTTTCACCTTTCAGAAAAAAAAACTCATCCTCTCAACAAAAATCCATTACTAATCTGCATGCTCACTCCCAAGCACAAATTCCCTCTGCAAGGCAAATTTTCCCCAAACAAAAATTCAAAATTCCTCCCTTTTCCCAGCACAAATTAAATTTCCCCCTTCCTCTGCCCTTAGAATCCCTCCTCTTAGAATAAAATGATATTCCCTCCAAATCCCCCCTAGCACAAATCATCTTCCCACAAATCCCTTACCAGAAAAAAATCCCCCCTTCTAGCATGAATACCCCTCAAAATCCTACATGCCAGAGCAAAATCCTGCCCCCCTCACCCCAAAATCACCCTCCAAATAACATAAACCCCCCCATCACCCCTCCCACCACAAATCTCTTTTCTCACAGCAAAAATTTTTGTTACTACCCCAGTACCATTCCAGCCTCCCTCTCTGAAGTTACAGACCTCGGACACAGCATGGCAGATTGCCAAGGGATGTTTTTAATCCTTGCCTCCTCATAGTTTTGTGTCATGTTACTCATCATAGTAAAAATGAGTCTAGGGGCAGGTTACCTCGACTTTACAGTCTGTGACAAGCAGCTAGTGCAGAGAGATGCTGGCTGCTGGAGTTGCATATGATCACAATGCCAGGAGGCTGGGGCACCCAGCAGGAGATGCAGAGGATCAAATCTGGCAACTTACCTGCAGGTCACCTGTGATAGCACTGATCCGGTGTTTCCCTGAGTACATTCCTGATCTCGTTGGGGCTACCATCTCAGCACCCTCAAGTCCTCTTTGTAACAATGAAGTTGGTTGGTGGCAATCAGTTGTGTTGACAGAAAAACCTGCTGATGGGGAGAAAGAGCAGAGAGTGGACTTCATAAGAGTATGGTGTTTCATTGTCTAGCTAGCAAGCTGGGGTTGTATTTTGACCTAAAGTTTGTAGGCAAGCTGTATTACTGCTGCAGCTGAGGTTGAGGAGTGCTGTCTACCGGGCTTGTATAGATCATGAACTATTTGTATGGAATTTCCAATTCTTCGACAAGTAAAACAGTTCCCCAAAATATCATTCTAATGTATTGTAAATAGCTGCTTACCTGTAGAACAGCTTTAACTGCTACATCTTGGAATGATTTATATGTATGAAGTTCATATGCTGATATCTCTCATTCTAATCTAATAATTAATCATAATTAAACATCAAAGAGTCTAGAGGTTATACATAAATTAAAGAACGACTTGTCTAGATGAATTAGAATATCTGGCTTTTCATGTCTGTATGCTTAACAGGTAATAACCAATTATGAATAATACATTTTAGTATTTTTTAATTAAAGTCATTATGTTATTAATAGATAAAATTAATTAACAGCAAATTTGAAAACAGCTGTGAAGACTGTATTTAAAGCACATTAAATTATTATTTTATGATTTATATATTATTTGTAGATAAGGTATAGTTTAAATGTATGCAGATGTTATTATTACAGGTATTTGTAGAGCGCTATCAATTTATGCAGTGCTTTATATATACTGTACATTCACATCAGTCCCTGTCCTCAAGGGGCTTACAATCTAAGATTTCTAAGCAGGGGCGGACTGACCATTCGGGTCAGTAGGGGGCCCCGTGAGATTCCCCTGGTACCTTTCATATGCATTTCTGGGTGTGGTTTGACTGTGGGTGAGGACACAGGGGCCCTATGATCCCTATTGCCCGGGGGCCCCATGAGTTGTCAGTCCGCTCCTGTCTCTAACTCATATTCATACATACATATACTAGGGACAATTTAGACAGAACCAAATTAACCTACCTGAATGTCTTTGGAGTGTGGGAGGAAACCAGAGTACCTGGAGGAAACCCACGAAGGCACAGGGAGAACATGCAAACTCCATGCAGGTGGTTCTGTGGTTGGGATTCGAACCAACAACCCTAGTACTGCCAGGTAAAAGTGCTAATTATTTAGCCACTGTGCTGCCCAGATATCATTAAGTCTTGTAGATATACATTTTCAGAAGCATAAGTCGGGGTGTAATCAAAACCTAAGTGAACAGGCTACATTTTTAAGATTGGTATGCAGTGGTTTATGCAACTATAATGTTTTAATTGTATACCAAAAAATGCAGACAACCATCTTTCAAGCCTTTGCTTTAAGTGTTACTAAATCCACAACAGTAAAATCAGTCTGTATATGCAGTAAAACATGCTTGTTATACTCACTGTGGAACCTAAGGGGTTAATCCTCTGCATTGTGTAAAAATGCTGTTTGATTGTGACTTCTCTGGTCCTCCCCTTCTTCCAGTGCCCCCCTCTTATCTCCTGATAGAACAGAGGCTCAGGGGCAAGCTGCACATGCTCAGTTTGGTGTATATTGCTGGAGTTTTTTTTTCTTTGGAAAGTGCATGTGATCAGCACAGAGCCAATCTGCACTCTCCAGACAGAGATCAGGGGTCCTGTATCCTCCAAAGGAAAATGAAAACTCCTCCTACCAGCTGGAACCAGTGCTCTGCTGGACACTGATAGAAGTCAGAAGACTGCCGATGAGAAAAAAGGTATTTAGCAGTTTTTACACTGCTCAAAAAACTAAAGGAACACTTTGAAAACTCTGATCTCAATGGGGAAAAATATTATACTGGATATCTATACTGATATGGACTGAGAAATGTGTTAGGAATGTAAGAATGCCCCATAGTTTGATGGAAATGAAATGAAAATTATCAACCTACAGAGGACTGAATTCGAAGACACCCCAAAAGTCAAAGTCCAGAGCCTCCCCCATCCTCTGGAACTCTCTACCCCAATCTATCTGACTATCACCCACTTTTTAGGCGATCTCTGAAAACCTATCTCTTCAGAGAAGCCTATCCTGTCTTCAGCTAATAATGGAATCTTCTATTCCTCCTATCAGTTCATCCCCCACAGTTATTACCTTTTGTACCACCAGTCCCTCCCTCTTAGATTGTATGTTCCAAGGAGCAGGGCCCTCCTAACCCTCTTGCATTGAACTGTATTGTTGCTGTATTGTCTCCCTTTATATGGCAAAGCGCTGAACAAACTGTTGGCGCTATATAAATCCTGTATAATAATAATCAAAGTGAAAAAATTATGCAGCAGGCTAGTCCATTTTGCTGAAACTTAATTGCAGCAACTCAAAATAGTACTTAATAGTTTGTATGGCCCCCACGTGGTTGTATGCATGCCTGACAATGTCGTGACATGCTCCTAATGAGACAACGATGGGGTCCTGGGGTATTTCCTCCCAGATCTGGACCAGGGCATCACTGAGCTCCTGGACACTGAGGTGCAACCTGACGGCGTTGGATGGGCTGAAACATTATATCCCAGAGGTGTACTTTTGGATTTAGGTTAGGCGAGCGTGGGGGCCATTCAATGGTATCAATTCCTCCATCCTCCAGGAACTGCCTCCACACTGTCTCCACACAAGGCCGGGCATTGTTGTGCACCTGGAGGAACCCAAGATCCACTGTACCATCCTAGGGTCTGACAATGGGTCTAAGGATTTCATCCTGATACCTAATGGCAGTCAGGGTGCCATTGTCTAGCCTATAGAGCTCTGTATGCCCCTCCATGGATATGCCTCCCCAGACCATCACTGAGCAACGCCAAAACAGTCATGCTGAACAATGTTACAGGCAGCATAACATTCTCCATGGCTTCTCCAGACCCATTTACGTCTGTCACATGTGATGAGGGTGAACCTGCTCTCATCTGTGTGTCGACCTGCCAATTCTGTTGTTCAATGGCAAATGCCAATTGAGCTCTATGGTGCCGGGCAGTGAGCATAGGGCCCTACTAGAGGACGTTGGGCCCTCAGGCCACCCTCATGAAGTCTGTTTCTGATTGTTAGGTCAGAGACATTCACACCAGTGGCCCGCCGGAGGTCATTTTGTAGGGCTCTGGCAGTGCTCATTCTGTTCTTCCTTGCACAAAGGAGAAGATATCGGTCCTGCTGATGGGTTAAGGACCTTCTATGGCTCTGTCCTCTCCTAGAGTAACTGCCTGTCTCCTGGAATCTCCTCCATGCTCTTGAGACTGTGCTGGGAGATACAGCAAACCTTCTGGCAATGACACATATTGATGTGCCATCCTGGAGGAGTTGGACTGCCTGTACAACCTCTGTAGGGTCCAGGTATCACCTCATGCTACCAATAGTGACACTGACCCTAGACAAATGCAAAACTAGTAAAAAAAAACAGTCAGAAAAGATGATTACAGAAAAAAACGTCAATGGCCTCCACCTGTAAAACCATTCCTGTTTTGGGGTCATCTCATTGTTGCCCATCTGTGACCAATCACAGTGAACACACATTTAAAAAAAAGGCTTCATGTTTCCTCTCACACTGATCATCTACAAAAGGAAACAGTGTTTCCAAATAGTGATCAGCACATTACAGTGTGACCATTTTAATTGTTTTTCTTTAATCACTTGCCACACAGTTGTAGATAAATGCCCAGGCAGCTGACTCCTGAGGGTGAGAGAACATTTTAAGATGTCCTCCCCTTTGCTCCCCTCATGCGCAACCTTTACCACATACAGTGACAAGCTCAGTGATTGCTTTTTCCTTTAGCCAGAGCAGATCACAGAGTGGGGTACAGGGCCAAAGACATTTGCCCTGTACCATGTAATCACTGTGACCAATCACAGTGACCACACATGTGAATAAAGGATGCATGCTGCAGCTAGTACCTGATCACCAGCCACACCAATAGAGAGCTATCATACCATTGCAGGTAGTCAGTGTCCCTGTCATCCCTATACCAGTATGGTGTCACCAGCGCAGTACAGCCAGCAACACTGTAAAGTATCACCATAAAAGTGCAACCGTGTCCTTGATCACCACCACACCAATTGCAATCCAGTGCAGTCACCAACAGTGGTCCTGGTCATAGCTACACCAATCCCAATCAATGTCACCAGACCAGTGTAAGCCAGAAGCAATGTTCCTGGTCGCTGCCACACTAGTTCAGTTTTCAGCCAACTAGAGTAAGCTAACAACAGTTTTTCTGATCATCACTACATCAGACCCAGTATCACCAGGCCAACATAAGCTAGCAACAGTGTCCTGATCACTAGCCACATCACTCCCAATGTCACCCGACAAGTGTAAGTCAGCAACTGTGTTCTTGATCGCTAGCCTTGCTAGTGCTAGTGTCACCAAAGCCAGTGTAGCCAGCAACAGTGCTCTTGATTACCAAAACACCAGTGCAGTGTTGCCTCTGCCTGCTGCCTCTACTGATCTTGGTATGTTTATTGGCCGTGTTTCCGCCTTCTGCTTGGAGCAATCTTTTTCCTGCTTATTGACCATGGTTTTACCTGCTACTTGAACTGACCCATCTGAAAATCCTACTGACTACATTCCTGAAAGGCACCTGTCCCAGCCATACCCTGCAGACAACTGCACTGCATGCACCACAGCTACTGTTTTGTTCACCCTTTTGTTCAGCCTACCGTACTTCTTGGCCAGTGCAAAATAGCATTCCTGGGGCAGCAATGTATCAGTATATAGGAAGGTTGCCTACAGTGAATGGTACTAGCAAGCAGGGGCGGACTGACCATTTGGAAACTCGGGCCCGGGGTCAGTAGGGGGCCCCATGAGTTGCCCCTGGTACCTTTTTCATAGGCTTTTTTGAGTTTGGGCAAGGACATAGGGGCCCCATAATCCCCTATTGTGCGGGGGCCCCATGAGTTGTCAGTCCGCCCCTGCTAGCAAGGTACTCGGCTCACCCAGATTGGGAAGTGGTTAACTTCCAGCACCTCAGTTCCTGGTGGGCTTTTGGTCTTGGGCTGGCCTTCCACCCTGTGTGGTACATTATTAAGGGAAAGATCTGGTTCCAGGGGGCCACAGGAATTTGAGGTCAAGGGGAATATACCACATCATGCAGTCCAGGAACCCAGGAATGGGCATGTAATCCACCTGAAAGATACATGTTTGGATGGATGCTACTAGTTATTGAATATCACCAGACATGAACAACACCTGTAGAGAGATGCCTCGGCAGCCACCCCTTTTAATTAGTTTAGGGTTTGGATTGTGTTGTTTCTGTTACTTGTTCTGCAAAGAAGAATTACAGTAAATGTTTGTTGTACCATTACAAAGCCTGATCCGAAGTCATTCTAAAGGGGCGCATGATTGTTTCAGGCTCTCCCGAGTGGGGGGCAGGGCTGTTGTTGGTCAATGTCAGACTCTCCGCAGGAGAGGGAAGGGGGGGTGGCATTGGGGCAGACAATTTTTGTGTTGCCTAGGGCAGCACAAAACCTAAATAAACCACTGCCCACAGTAAACCTCATACATCCCAGGAGGCTTTAGGATGGTTCCCCCCGCCAAACCAGCAGATCTTGAGTATGCTCAGATCAGGATGTCACAGCCGGCTCCTGAAACCATGATGGTGAGCACAGCTGTGAAAGCTTCAGGTTCCAGAAAGTCAGTGCTGGAAATTTTGGGTTTGAAAATATGTGCTTTTAAAAAGTAAGCAGTTACACTACTTGTAGCTACTGCCTTTTTAATTTTTGGATAGCCAGATGAAGTTCCTTGTTAATGCAGTGTGCCCTAATGTTCAATAACGCATCGTGTAAACACATGTGCACTAATGCATTGCTAAGTGGTGAGCACTTCTGCTTAGCAACACTAGGGTCTTCAGTTCAAGCCCAACCACGGAACTATCCGTACAGAGTTTGCATGTTCTCCCTGTGCCTGAGTGTGTTACCTTTGGATACTCTGAATTCCTCCCACACTCCAAAGAGGACAGGGATTGATGTAAATGTACAATACATATGTAAAGTGCTGTGTAAATTGACTGTGCTGTATAAGTACCTAAAATAAATAAATTGTTAAATATTATATATGCAAGTGTTATATGGAACACCGCATATATAATATTTAACAATTTATTTATTTTAGGTACTTATACAGCACAGTCAATGGAAAGGACTATTAAAGGATAAGTTCACCTTCGGAAGCATATTACATGTTCCACCCATTTTTAGGGTGGATCATCTAACATATTTCTGCTCCTGCAGTGGCTCAGAGATCCAAGCCCTCTGGTATGAGAAATTTCCCATACCAGCTATCACTTTTTGAAAAGAGCGCTGTCCCATAAGGCTGCATCATTCATTTACAGAATTCTATTAATGAATCAACTACAAGTACCGACATCCTTTGCAGGTGTTGGCTTGTAGTTCTAAATGAACTACCATGGCATTGTTGGGCTCTGTAGAGCGCTCTGATAGTTCATTTATTCTTCCTATCACTGTGAAACTGCCTGCTGGTATGATGTACGGGCAGGCTTCTTACACTGACAGTCTGCAGGACTCCTGCATGGCACCAGCGATTTGCTGATTACTGGTGCAATGTGTTGCGGGCTCCAAAAAAAAAAAAAGCAAATGCACATTTTTTTACCTGCAAAAAAAAGTGCATTATTTATTTTTTTTTTTTACAAACGATTTTTATTAAAGGATAGACAACAATAACAGTATAACCACTTGAGGATCAAAACACCTCAAGAAAAAGGCACATAGGTGAGTAGCAGTAGTATAAGATACAAGCATAAAAAAAAAAATAAATGT